TGGGGGGGGGGGGGGGCTGGCTGTTGCAGGCAGACAATGGTGCACCTCCTATTGTAGTCACCCAAGCAAAGGCCCCGCCCACCTCATTACTGCTGCGGATGATGTTGGGAACGGTTCCGTGGTTGTGTCTGCTGGGAGTTTTGTAAGACTACATTTGTACAGATTTGTAAATAGTTTTAGTTTCGGTTCGTTGGGGTTCGCTGGGCTCTTGGGAAGCGTCACACCACAGCCAGCCGTGGATTAGTCATGCTGCCCGATTTCATTTTCATGTTGCATCACCCCTTGGGGACTCTGTGCTCTCATGAGCCCACTCCCGAGGTATCGCTTGTAATATTAAGTTAAAATAAATAGTCCAGGAATGTGGACCTGGGCTACGTTCGCAAAATCATAACCAGAAGTCAAGTTCGAGCTCCTGATTGGTCGAAAACAGCAAGAGCCTCGTTGAGTTTCCAGCAGAGCTCGATTTTTCGAAAATATACATCCAACCAAAGAAATACAAACCATTTGAGTAATATCACAGTCGAAGGGGATGTTGTGGAAGTCTTCAAAGTGAATGAGATGAAAAACGATTTTGCTTTTTTTCCCAGAAGGACATGAAATTCCAAAATCAAGAAACGATTACGTTCCCGCCCAACAGAGCCATTTTGATTTTTGAATTTTGCCATTTTTGATTTTTTGAATCTCGTATCTAGGGGAGTTAACGCACGCTACTCTTGCGCGGATGTGGGCGTATATGTGCTTGTTTTTTTTTTTTTGCGTTGCAGGTGTACGGAGCCCTGCCGAGCGAGATGCAGAGCCGCATCTTCGAGCCACCTCCGGCGGGAACACGGAAGGTATGCGTACAGCGGCAAAATACGGGTTTCTAAAGGCTGCGGACGGGTGATGGTCTGTCGGACCCGAATTCAGCCCTCTACGGGCAGCTGTTCTCACCCACTCCCTGTCTGTCTGTGGTGCTCGTTTTGCCCCCCGTGTGCGACATGTCTAACACTTCGTACTTATTTTTCCACGAGCTGATATAGGAAACCTGGAGCGACGGTTGAAAACAAACTTCGAGCGACGGGTACAAGATGCCTGTTTTGCTGCCTGCGTATTTGTTTCGCCTGTCGTCCTTTTTGTGCCTGGACCGACAAGAAAAATACGCCCCGAGAAGAATTTTCGTGGGAATTTCGCCGTACAGCGATATACTTCGTAGCTGATTGATTTTGTGGAAGCTTGGAGCGACGATTGGAAACAAACTTCGAGCCACGGTTTCAAAACATACCCTGTTTCTTTCTTTCTTTTTTTTCTTTTTTTTCCCACCCATCGTCGTTTTTGTTGGTGTCGGCGAAGGTGGTGGTGGCAACGAACATTGCCGAGGCCTCCCTGACGATCGACGGCATCTACTACGTCATCGACCCCGGGTTTTGCAAGCAGAAGGCGTACAACCCCAAGATGGGCATGGACTCGCTCGTCGTCAGTCCCATCTCGCAGGTGGGTGGGTGGCGGGGTTTGCGTTTTGTGTTGGCACAGCTCCTGATGTACCGTTGGTTGCATAAGATATCACACCCCCTTGACCGATTTTTGAAGCTCGATATCTCGGCAGGAAAAGCAGTGACGGGGCCGAAAATCGCGGCGTTGGAACCGTCTCGTGGTCAAGAGACAAGCTTTCCGAAAACGTATACTTCAATATGGGCATCCTATTCGTCGTGGAGTAGTCGAGCTTTGAAAAAATAGATCCACGGGGGGTGATATCTTGAGCAACCTACGGTATACCCACTAGTATCTACGTCGTAAATGAAGTTGGTAGTACACACGTGCACGCTGACGCATCTTCACATGAGAAGCTTCGGATGATGCACCCAAGGCACAGGTATCTATTTTTTGCTCCCCACGACACTTACCGCATGGTTGCATGCAACTCGTACGTACGTGCCTTCATCTGAAGCTTCTGTTGCATGCATACGCGTGGGTGTCTGCAGTATCCATCTCCACGTGCGGCTTCCGGGTCCAAAGTAGCGAGGGCGCCTGATCTATCAATTCTGTTGCTCTTGGGGGACGTCTTTCCCACCTGAAATGTCCCAAAGACCCTTCTGTCTTACGTGTTCCGTGGGTATTTGTTGGATGTCCACACTCAGCTTAGCTGGGTCTACACTAGCGAGGACGCCTGTTCACCCACAGTCGTAGGCCCTCTACAAGGCGGGTATGCGCCAGGCCGATTCACCCGCCCTGTACAGGACACTCACCTTGTTCGATGTGTAGGGTGACTTGATTCTTTTCCGCCTGTGCCAACCAATTTCACCCGCCACATATGTTTAACCCGCCTTATGGAGGGCCTAGGACTGCAATCCTCGTGTTGCTCTCCGGGGGGCGTTTTTTTGCCTTGACTCTCCCACCTTTACGATGCAGCTTCTGTTGGCTAGCGTGGATGCACCTTAACTGGGTGTATACAGTAGCGAAGACACCTGCTCCTCCAACCCTATTGAGACTTTTTTTTTGCCCTGAACCTCGCACCTTTACGAGAAGCTTCTGTTACCTTGCGTGGGTGCAGCTGAACTGGGTCTGTAGCGAGGACACCCGTTCGCCAAATGCTCTTAGGGGCATGTTTTTACCTCTGCTAATTTTTCCTTTTTTTTTCTCTCTCTCTCGCTTCTTGACGTGGCTACTATATACCAGGCGAGCGCGAGGCAGAGGGCGGGAAGGGCAGGGCGTACCGGGCCCGGCAAGTGCTACCGCCTCTACACCGAGTCGGCGTATAAGCAGGAGATGCTCTCCAGCTCGGTGCCTGAGATACAGAGGACGAACCTCGGCAACGTGGTGCTGCAGCTCAAGGTACATATGTGTGCATGGCTTTATAGCGTCTGTTGTTACTGTTGTTGTTGCTGTTGTTGTTGTTGTTACTGTTGTTGTTGTTGCTGTTGTTGTTGTTGTTACTGTTGTTGTTGTTGTCGTCGTCGTTGTTGTCGTCGGCAGTACGAACATGGGTGTATGGCGTTTGTTGCTGTGTTGTCAGTAGCATTGACTGGGTTTTCGGTGTAGCTTTCGTCGAGAGGATGAACCTGGGCAGCGTGGTGCCGCAGCTCAAGGTACATGTGCATGGCTTTTAGGGTCTGTTGTTGTTGTTGTTGTTGTTGTTGTTGTAACAGCAGTACGAACATGGGTGTGTAGTATTTGTCGATGTGTTGGCAGTAGCGCTGACTGGGTGATTTTTTGTAGTTTCTGTCGGGAGGATGAATCTCGGCAACGTGGTGCTGCAGCTCAAGGTAAATATTGTTATTGTTGTTGTTGTTGTTGTTGTTGTTGTTGTTGTTGTTGTCTTCACACCAAAAACCGTTCCGGTCTCCGCTCAGTACCTTCTAATGTCCGTACTATACTATACTATACTATACTTTACTCTACTATAACAGTACAACTGACGCGCACGCCTTTTGCGTGGTCACAAGCCAACTGCCCCCACCAAAGGGGCACCTTTCTAATAATATAAATGGACACCAGAAAAAATCCCTCCATGTGCACGGGTTTACAGCGTCTTTGGTGTTGTTTGGTGTTGTTGTTGTAACAGCAGTACAACGTATATGGGTGCGTAACGTTTGTTGTTGTGTTGGCAGTGGCACTGACCGGTTTTGGGTTTCGGTGTAGTTTTTGTCGAGAGGATGAGAACCCGGGCAACGGTGCTGCAGCTCGAGGTACATACATGGGGTTATGACGTCTGTTGTTGTAGTGACAGTAGATAATATCAGTGGGTTCGCAAGCAGCACTAGTTGGTCTTTGGTTTTGTCGTAGCAGTAGTAGTGCAGGTAGAAGTAGTAGAGTAGTAGAAATAGCTGGAGGAGGAGGAGGAGGAGGGTTGGACGGCTGTGGTAACTGCAGCCTGAGGTGTGGTATAGAAGACGTTGACGAAAGCCACCGACCCCTTGGTTCGCCTCTAACCGCGTTTCATGTCCATGCGTTTCATATAACGTCTCCCGCCCCCTCCCCCATGTCTCTCGCTCCCCCCCCCCCCCGTTCTGTTCTCAGGCGATGGGAATCAACGATCTGCTGGGCTTCGACTTCATGGACCCTCCCCCACTGCAAACGATGGTGTCGGCCATGGAGAACCTGTACGCCCTGGGGGGCCCTTGACGAGGAAGGGGGTGAGGGGAACAGAAAAAGAAGGAAATTTAAGGGAGAAGAAGAGAAAAAAATCGAAAGGAAAATTGAAAGGGGGAAGAGAAAGAAGAGTATGGAAGGTAGAACAGTAATTATAAGTTTGAGTGGGAATAAAAAATGGAAGAAAATTGAAGGGAAAAAAAAATAAAAGACGACATGTGATGAGAAGAAAAATGAGAAGCTGAAGGGCAAAAGAAGAGAAGAAAATTGAAGGAGAAACAGAAACGGCAAGATAGGAAGGGGAAAAAGAAAGCCGAAATTGATCGCCACCCTGCGGATGAACACTCATGCATACCATAAGGATGTGAGAGAACGCATGGGGGTGTCGGCGTTTTTCAAAGCTTGATTGCTCCACAACTATTATAGGAAGGTGCGAACACCAACCGGTGTACCTCTCGGGAAAGCCCTCGACGAGATGTTTCCAAAACCATCCTTGTCGGCAGTGGTACCCTCCTGGTTGTGGAGAAATCACGCTGTGAAAAACACTGACTCCCCCGTGCGTTCTCTAGAGTCCTTGCGGTATTTCCGTGATCATTACGGTATTTCTACATGGAGTGCGCAGTGTCACGCCGTATTTCCCCATGTTTTTTGCTGACGATTCCCGCGCCACATGGTTGACTGCTGTGCTTGTATTCGCGGCATTGGCAGCTGCTGACGAGATTGGGGCGCAAGATGGCCGAGTTCCCTCTGGAGCCGCAGCTGTCCAAGATGCTCATCACTAGGTATTTGCTGCTGCTACTGCTGCTGCTGTTGTTGTTTGGGTTTTTTCGCTACTGGTTGTTGTTGTTGTTGTTGTTCGTGGTGGTGGTGGTGGTGGTGGTGGTGGTATTGGTTGTTGCTGTTGTTCGGGTGTGTTTGCTGTTGTTTTTTTTGTTGTTATTCTTGTTATTCTTGTTTTTGGTGTGGTGGGTGTGTGTGTGGGGGTATTGTTGTTGCTATTGTTGTTACTGTTGGTTGGTGGTGGTGGTATTGTTGTTGTTCTTGTTTGTCATCAGCAGCGTTGGGCTTGGCTGGGCCTCCTCTCTTTCCTCCACCCTTGGCAGGAACCCACCAGTAACCACCCTTTTCGCCGATATCTATCATGTATATATCCCATTTCTTTCGACTGTTTTTTTTTTTTGCAGTGTGGAGCTTGGGTGCGCTGAGGAGATCCTGACGATCGTGGCCATGCTTTCGGTGGAGAACCCCTTCTACAGGCCCAAGGAGAAGCAGGCGCAGGCCGACATGAAGAAGGCCAAGTTCTTCCAGCCAGAGGTATGTACTCATCAAGATACAATCCGAGTTCCGTTCTATTTTGACACAAGGACCAAGCTCTTCCAGCCAGAGGTTCATCAATAATGGACAGAACCCGATTTTCGCTCTATTTTGCGGGTGGAGCACATGGAACACAGCACACTTATCTTAATTCCGATTTTCTCTTCAATGGTCTCTCTTAAAAAACCGTAGCCGCTACCCGCTGCTCCAGCGTTTTTTGTTTGTTTTATCCACATAAAAAAAATCGAAGGCAAAGTACCGCAGGAGGGGAGGGTAGAGGGGGGGCTCTTCTGTGTGACCACGGGTTGGAGTAGACGGCACTATTTAGTGCTGTGAGCGCTGATTTGAAGTATATAATATTATATATAGGTGTTTTTTAATTAATTATTAGTTATTTTTTGGGTATTCGGATGGCAAGCAAGTGAAGAACAAGACAAAAAAAAAATATATATATATATATACATATTAGTCATATATTCACGTTCGTTGTCGTCGTTTCCGCCCTCGGCCTCTCTTTTTCTTCTTCCAGGGCGATCACTTAACCCTTCTAGCGGTGTACGAGGCATGGAAGACGAGCAAGTTCAGCAACCCGTGGTGCTACGAGAACTTCGTGCAGGCCCGCTCGATGCGGCGCTCGCAGGACGTTCGGAAGCAGCTCGTATCCATCATGGACCGTTACAAGGTACATACTTGGTTTTTTGTTGCTGTCGTTGTTGTTGCTGCTCGTGTTGTATTCGTGTGTCGTCGTCGTTGTTGTTGTTGTTGTTGTTGTTCCTTGGTCAACTGCCTACCGGGGTCGATGCTTACCGACGACTCGCAAGCACACACGCGTACAGGCCGCATATTTTACCCCCCGCTACAAGACGTAAGTCATACGCAGCTGTCATCCGTATGCAAGGAACTAAGCACAAGATGCTGAGCACCCTTAGCAGGATGCAGCGCACCCATGCGACTCGCCGAATACCTCACGGCGCTTCGCGCGTGGTGATGTGAGAGCCTGGTCCGGTGAGAACCCGGCGTGCTCCATCCCGGCTTTGTAGGGATGCGAGGTCAATGGTCTAACGACTACGGCATGCACGACTATGAGTACACCCCTCCCCTCCCCGCTACAAGACTGACGTATTTTCTTCATTGGTCAGCCGGTTGTTGTTGTTGTTGTTGTTGTCTTCACATTAAAAACCGTTCCGATCTCTCTCTACCCGTTACAACGATAGAGAATAGAACACGCATCGATTTGTACGTGTTGTCGGTTCTCATCCCCCGCTAGTACAAGACTGGCGTATTTTCGTTGGTCAAGATTACCGCTGTCGATCCTAATAAAAAAACACGCGCGCACACGCGCACACGCGCAGATTGTGTACTAACGTGCGTGCATGTTGGCGGGTTTTATTCCCTACTACAGTAGTACAAGACTAGGCGTCTTTTCGTTGGCCAACCGGCTACGGCGGTCGATGCTTGCCCATCACACACGCACACGCCCGCACACGCGCAGATAGACATGATGCTTACGGAAGACTAACGCCCGTGCGTGTTGCGTTGCGTTTTTGATCCCCCGCTAGTACAACACTGACATATTTTTCGTTGGTCAGCCGGTTACAGCACAATCCCCCCGAATCACGCGCAATCGGTGCTTATAAATAGAAACACGCACAAGCGCAGATAGGCATACTGACGGCCGGGCGCAACCAATCCCGCTAGAGTGCAAGACTGCCGTATTTTGGTTGGTCAACCGACTACCGCTGTCGATGGTATTTCAAGAACACATGCACAACAAGACATTAGTTTCGTTGGCCAACCGATTACCCGCGGGGGCGGTCGACACTAATAAATTCCAAAACACACGCACATGCACGCGCGCACGCGCAGATGGACATCCTGACGGCCGGGCGCAACTACATTAGTCCCGCTAGAAAACAAGACTGGCGTCTTTTCATTGGTCAGCCGGTTACAGTATCGTGGTCGATGCTAATTCCAAAACACACGCACGCGCGCACGCGCAGATGGACATCCTGACGGCCGGGCGCATCTACATTAGTCCCGCTAGAAAACAAGACTGGCGTCTTTTCATTGGTCAGCCGGTTACAGTATCGTGGTCGATGCTAATTCCAAAACACACGCCCACGCGCACGCGCAGATGGACATCCTGACGGCCGGGCGCAACTACAACAAGGTGCGGCGTGCCATCGTGTCCGGCTACTTCACGCACGCCGCGAAGAAGGACCCGCAAGAGGGGTACCGGACCATGGTGGAGGGGAACCCCGTGTACATCCACCCCAGCTCGGCGCTGTTCAACAAGTCGCCGGAGTGGGTGCTGTACCACGAGCTCGTGCTCACGACCAAGGTTGGTTGGTGCTTTGCTGTGTTAATTGTTGTTGTTGTTGTTGTTGTTGTTGTTGGCGGTGGTGGTGTTGATGTTGCTGTTGTTTTTGTACGTTGTTGCTCAGAGTGGGTGCTGCACCACGAGCACGTGCTCACCACCAGGGTTGGTTGGTGCTTTGCTGTGTTGTTGTTGTTGGTGGTGGTGGTGGTGCCGTTGCTGTTGTTTTGTATGTTGTTGCTCAGAGTGGGTGCTGCACCACGATTTCGTGCTCACCAAGAAAGTTGGCGCCTTGCTGTGTTTTGCCAAGAAAAATACCTACCTCTGTTGGTTAGGTTTGACCCCCTCTTTTTTTTGTACTTCTTTTTGTCGGGCTGCAGGAATACATGCGCAACATCATGACGATCGAGCCCAAGTGGCTTGTCGAGCTGGCCCCGCAGTTCTACAAGTCCGCGGACCCCAACAAGATGACGCGGCAGAAGAGGATGCAGAAGATCGAGCCGCTGTACGACAGGTTCAACCCGCCCAACTCGTGGCGCCTCAGCAAGCGCAAGGGGTAGTCGTAGTTTTGGGGCTGCCTACTCGGAGAAAGTAGTAGGTTATCACGAAAAAATACCAGGCGGGCAGGGGGCACGCAGACCGTAACCCCGACCTCAACTTCGCCGATTATTTACCTTATCCAAGTACTTTTCTTAAAATAAGCAAACCTGCGTGGACTGCTGCAGAGGTGGAGGTGGCGTTGTGGCCAGGGGGTTGTCTTCACATGGTGGTGGTGGTGGTGTGGCGGCATAGAGAAGACTGGAGCTCTTCTGCGCTGTGGAGGGCCCAGCCGGGGCGAACCGCGGTGCCTCTCCAAGCGCCCAGGGTGTGGTAGTGCGTAGATTTGCGTGCGCCAACCGGCAGCAGCTCTTTCGCTGTCTCCTCGGCGAAGCGAATGGAAGGTATAGCATCGGTCTGATGGTGCCGGCCGGCGCAAATCGCGGTGCCCCCCGCAAGCGTCAATGGAGTACGTAGCTGTGGGTGTGGTCGAACATTCTTGACTGATTGTGTGCGCTACATATTAACCGGCAGCAGCTCTTTCGCTAGAAGATCAACGAGCGGGCTAGAAAAAGTGGAAGGTTTTGTGTTAACGGTTTGATGATGTCATGATGGTACGGTAATTTGGTTGTTTCCAACTTTTTGAGCAGAGACGAAGGACTGCTTGGTCATTGACTCAACGCGACGCGACTTGGGCGGGAATGCGTGGATTATAGACTCATACAATGGGAGAGCATGGTGCTGTCGGCGGAAGGGATCGGGGGGGGGTGATCAGCGCCGTCAAAGCGTGTGACTCATACAATGGGAGAGCATGGTGCTGTCGGCGGAAGGGATCGGGGGGGGGGATGATCAGCGCCGTCAAAGCGTGTAGTCAGCTCGCTGGCGTTGTAGCTACCTACAGACAGACGGGTCGTGTCACGATGTCGGCGCTTGCGCTCATGTAAACGGATGCCGTAGTCGTTCGCGCGTTGACCTCGTATCCCTACGATGCCGGAGCGGAGCCACTTTTTTTGCAGCCGTGGCGAGCGAATATCAAGGAGGCCACATGTGTGTTCGCTTCAAGTGGTCCTGCAACGAAGACAAATGGAGGGAGAGTCGCCTGCACGAGAGGGATGGGGTCAGGTTTCCGCGAGGGGAAAAAGCAGCGAAACTTTAACTTTCCGTTTGGTGACAAATCGGAAGAGCGAGGGCGCATCTATCTATAGCTGCCCGTAGTTGCCTGTTGTGTTGTTGTAGGGTCGGGGTTGCCATTGTTGGAGCTCAGGTTTCCGCTAGGTTGGAGCAGCGGGACTTGTCGGTTGTCGACAATCAATCAGCGAGGGCGCGTCTTTCATGTAGACAGCGGTCCGTCGTTGCCTCTTGTAGGGTGGGGATGGCACATTCTCGGAAACTTCCACGCGTGGCGTGTCGGTGGACCGAGGTGGGCTGTCGGGTCGAAAAGCTGATGGTCGTTTTATGGCTCGAGGTAAAACAAGTGCATGTGGTACGTGCAAATCCTGTTCGTAGCAGGCTCAGCGTCAGTCAAAGCGGTGGTGGGGGCCGACAGTCTGCTGCTCCCTACATGTAGGTTACAAGAGAGTGTAGGCCTAACAGATTGACAGCAGTAGTTTCAAGGCAGCAAAAAAAAAAAAATTATAGAACGAAGAGTTTTCTTGTGTCAAGACATGGGTTTGTATGCCGAGTGATTCGATCAAGAGTCACGAGCACCTGTCTATTACTGCAGGGTCCCCGTTTAGTGCCGTTGAATGGTGCCGGTGTTTTGGGTGGGCACACACTGAATTTCCAAGTCATTCTCAATACTTCGAATAGTGCCGGTGAACTTCCTGGGCACATACTGACACTCAACGGGGACCTCTACTGTACCTAAGCGGCGAGAGGCATTGTTGTGGCCGTTTGTGGTTGGACCGAGGGGGCTCCGTGGTTCGACGAAGGGGTCCCCTGGTTCGGCCTGAGGGACGTGCAACGGCCCACTTGCCGCCCCTGAGCTTTCAGCTCGGCTTCTCTCATTGGTTGTTGTCCATGTTCTCGCTCGTTTCTACCTGACTAATCTGTGGTCTAAATTACCACGCTCATCGAAACAGGTTCCCCCCACGCCTTGCACGTTGTACATAAATAACACTTGAAAAAATGAACCGGAAACCGTCCGTGGACGCCTCCAAGAAAATGCCGGAGGCCGAAAGCAGGTCATGACCTACCCAAGCGGTGTCGTTTGCGACACCCGACGATAAAAAGGGACGGCTCGATTTTTTTTGGAGAGACTGCTGTTGCGGCACGTTTTGTCTGGCGGTTTCGCCTTGTTCGGTGCCAAAAAAAAACTCTTACAAATCAAACTACGCGGTGAGTGCGATCTTCGCTCCCCGTCCACGTGGTCTGGCTGCCCGACTTTCTTCCCGCAACACGGACGACATGGCTTTCGCCCCAGGGTGGGGCGGCCCCTCTCTGTTGCAAGCACACCTTAAACATGCTATTTAGAAAGGGTCTGCCCGTTGGTAAGCCGAAGTTGACAACCCTGCTCGATACGAAATACCAAAACGGCACAGCGAGAGGCGTAAAAAAAAGAATCCCTGTTCCGCAGCCAAACGGCAATAACCAACAAGTCTCAAGCTCAGTGAAACTTGCCCAAATCTACTCCATCACAGAAAGCCGACAACAGCAGCAGTCCATACTCTTCTAAGCGCGTGAACCCTCTTGATATCAATCAAATCTATGCACACCGCCCGCAAATACATCTGCCTCTGCCCCCATCCATCGCTGTGAGCCCCACAAACGCCATCCGCTCTCTCGTGCAAAGCCCGTCGCGCCGATTACGACGAAAGCTTCCCAACGAGCCCCCCTGTTTGGGTTAGCCTCCTCATCCCCCTAAGTGCAGACTGTCTGCTACTCCCTCCGGATGCGTAGGCCCCTCTATTCTACCCCCGTTCCTCCCGCGATACAGATACTTAGAGAGGTCCCTGTTGGGATAGTACCGGTACGTGCCCAGAAAAATTCATCGGCGCTACCAAACCGGGCGCGGGCACTATTCAAAGTATTGAGAATGACTTGAAAATTCAGCGTGTGCCCGCCAAAAACACCTGCACACTATTCAACCGGCACTAAACAGGGACCTCTACTTACTGTACTGGGGCTGTGCGGGATAGCTTCCTGGCCTTCATCTTGTGGACAGCCCTGCCCTTCGCCTCCTCCGTCGGCTGGACCAGCCCCAGTTTTTTTTCTTGCCCACGGCAAAGTACTGCCACCGCCGGTGCATGTTCGTGACCGCGCGGCTCCGCCGCCACCGTTGCCGGCTAATGGTCCCCGACCTCCCAGAATTCACGCCGCTTCATCTCCCAGAACTCCCGCCGCTTCATGTCCCACCTATACATTCAGTAGGTGCACCGAGCGCGAGTATTATCACGTACTCGGTGCACCTGCTTAAAAGCAGGGAGAAATATGCAGCAGCGGCGGCATCTCTGGGAGGCGGAGGGCACCAGCTGGCGGCGAGCACAGCTAATCACGTGGTACTCGGTACACCGGCAACAGCAGGAGGGATCGGCAGCGGCGGCAATTCTGGTCGGTCGGCGGAAGGCATCTACTGGCGGTGGTAGCCGTGCCGGGGGGCGGGGGTGGGCGGCTGCTCGTACTCCGCCTTTGAACTCCGCCGCCCTCGTGTCGCGGCGCGGAAGGTCAAATGCAAGGGGCAACGGCGGCTGTTGGCGCCGCACGCGGTCACGAGCATGCACCGGCGATGGCACGGCAGCACGGGCCGGCTGTAAGACATGTTTTGTTCAGAAACAGAGGCTCACACATTGTCACGGGAATTCAGAAAATAGGGTTGAGAAACACAACTCAGCCGTGGAGGATCCTATACTAAACTCAACATAACAACCAGTGCTCGGCAATGGCGATGAAATAAGACACCGAGCCTCGACCCGATTTCGACGTTTCTTACCTCCGGCCCGTATTTCTGTAACACTGCGACGTGGGCAGGAAGACGAAAGGGGCTGGTCCAGCCGGCGGAGGCAGTGGCCAACAAGGCTGCCCACAACAGGGAAAGAAACGATCGGGGCCGCGGTCGCGATGTGCAGCACAACATCTTCAGCCGTGGCGTGGTGGTGGTGGTGATGGTGGTGGTGCCGGTCGATGGCAGGGCCATGGCTGATTGCCTGGGCAAGAGGGCACCAAACACGGAGGAGTGAAAAGGTTTGTTTTCGCTACTACCGTATTTATTAATGTAATGTAATGAACGCGCATGGCAATCAGTTATAGCGCCCGCACCTTAGAACTTGGCAGTTGAATTACGAGCTTGATTCTCATATATCTGAACATACATAGACACTTGACCACCATTTGTGAGCCCGGCTAAGAACCCCTACACTAAAGCCTACATATTTTGCCATTTGTAGGAGGAACTAAGAAGGCCAGCCTCGGCCAAGAATAGAGGTTCTTAAAGTGCGGGCGCTACCTGCACACTTTTGCCGGCAGCCTCCAAGGAGCGATTGTCCGTGATGGAGGGGGAAGAGATAGGACACAGAGTACAGGGCAGCAGTTAAGAAATATTTGTTTAAGAAACGGAGGCTCCAATAAATATTCACGATAAATAAGAAGAAAATGTTTAGAAACACTTGGAAACAAAGATCAGCAGGGGGTCCTAGAGAAAACTCGAACATATTTGGCATCCTGTGCTCGACTGATAGTGGCGATGAAATAAAGAAACTGAACCTCGACCCGATTTTCACCGTACATGTGCCCGGTTGGGGCCGCTGTGGTGGGAGCAAGACGCGCCGTACAGCAGCGACCTCGCCGCACACGAGGCAAAGACTACCGTAGGTGACACAAGATACCACACCCACCCCTGGACCGATTTTCAAGGCTCGATTACTCCACGATGAAGATGATCCGTATAAATGAAACGTCAAGTGTTCGGTCGCTCTCGACGAGACGGCCCCAACGCCGCCATGTTCGAAACTGCCGCTCTTTCTGCTGCTGCGGAGAAATCGAGCTTCGAAAGTCGGTCCAAGGAGGGCGGTATCCCACGTCACCTACGGTATGGCCCTAGCGCTACAGAAGTGACGTCGGTTGCCTTTACGTCACAGCCTACTCGCGCCATTTTTGAAGACAAACCAAAAGACATATGCCCAAATCGTCCCGCGGAAGATACCCTCCTTTGAAGAAAAAAAACTGCCCCCAAGGGGGGGGGGTGGTAAACTACGTCACCAGCGCTACTGACCCCGTCTGTGTGCGTGCGGCGGAAACACTCCATCCTGCTATGCATACCGGATTATTTTTATCTACCTTGATACTCCAGTAGTCTTCATCAGTAGATAGACTGGGGAGTGGATCAAAGGGATACCTTATTTTTTTGCACCCCTTTGCTGTACAGTATGGGCTGCTCTGGTTATTATGCGAAAATCACTGAAAAATAAGTGATGATATAGTTAGATAGGTGCACACCTGACTACTAGTACGTGGCGTACCTGACTATCGCAAGCGAATGCCCAAGGCTGCACCTTCAGAAAATCGGTGGTGGCGGAGTGAGAGTCAAGACTCTCTCAACCGCCCGCCAGGAGGGTTGGTTGCGTTTGTCTGCAACAGGTACATCGTTATTTGCTGTTTGGCCTATATACATAGTTCAGACACGGAGGAGGAGGTCGTTCGGGCAGGTAGGTGGTGCTACTACTGTCATACCACAGGCTTCAAGTACGTTCGAGAGGCCCGGAACAAAGTATATTGACAAGACTTTTATCCGCACCGCAGAATGGTAATCCATGGGGAAGGAAGTGTTGAGAAAACATGCTCACCTGCTGGGCCATCGCTCGCCGGGTACCCGGCAATTGGTAACCCGGCCCCCGGCCGGGTGTGCTGTGTCACAGCAGTCACAGCAGTCATCAGTCACAAATTGCCGGCTGCAGGCTTCCGCAGACGCTTCATCCCATCACGCCAGCGCTGTTTATTCCAACTGCTGCCAACAAACGCTGCATAGATAGCCATACGGGAGGAAACCGCAGCAGCAGCGTTCAGCGTGCAGCAGCAGCATGGAGCAGCTGGGAGCGTAGAAGGCAGATGGGGGTGAATGCCCCGAATGCAATATCGTCAAGATATCCATCCAGCTCCTTTTACCTCGAGAGTGGGAGAGCGGAGGCATGCATGGGTACCCGCGAAAGCTGTCGAGGTGTACTTCACGAGGTAACTCACACACATGGGAGGGGAACCTGACCAGCAACAGCACGTGCAGGTAGTGGTGTGGGTTGGCGTGTTGTCATACAACAAGTATCAGACAGCAGCAGGCCAGAGCCGCAACAGCAGTCAGCAATCCATCGGCAACGAGCATATTTATGCAGATCTGCTGCTGTAGCACCCACCGGAGAAGGAGCCCATGAATGTGATAACGCACGCAGGGACGAAGGGAGACGGGCCTCATGCCATCCATAGAGAGTGCCAGACTGCTGCTTGCGGTTACAACAGCGAGTTGCAACATCTATCCGCAGATCTACAGCAGTAGGACCCGTGTTTGGAGCCCATCTTGACAGTCTCGCGGCCGAAATTTCCAGTTTGGTTTCACCATCATCACCATCAGTCACCCACACACAAAACGACTGCAGAAAAATGACAGAGGAGACGAGGAGACACACTTGGCGCTACCAAGCCTGATGAGAGAGGTCCAACATCACCTTCCGAGCAACCCCCGAAAGCCTCAAAGTCGATCCCTCACTACCTTTAGAAGGCGAAAAGTCCTGCAAAGCACAACTGAGTTGCAGTTTTTTTACAACCCAGCGGCGGACAAACTGGGAGAATGGGAGAATAGATGCGAAGAAGGGATGCGGCAACGCCGCGAGAAGCAAAGAAGCAAAGAAGCAGGGCCGCAGCCAGCCGCTGCGTGCTGCCGTTGCAGCGACGCACCAGCAAGGGCCTCATCGAGTGTCGTTTCGACTTTCCGTCGATTCTGGTTTCACCGCGTTTTGATCACACCACCTACAGCGGTATCTATCATCTATCTGCCCTGCCCTACACACAACACACGGCGAGATTGCTTTGCTCTGTCGTGAGGAGCGGGGAGGGGAGTTTAATTCAACCGCGGCGGCGTTGCTGCTTTTTCGAGGACGCAACCACTAACTCTTCACCGGCACCTTTTGCGCAGAAGAAGCAAGAAAATAATTGGTCACCAAGCAACACGCAGCACACAATACATAGTCTATGCTCTTGTCTGAGGGAAGATACAGGCGCGTTTTTTGTGCCCAAGCTCTCTGTCTCTGTCTCCCCTCTCGTCTCCGGGAAAACGCTCACAGCGGGGAAGACGCACAAGCTGACCCAGCCTTTTCAGCACACCATGATTCCGTCGTTGAAGGATTTCATCCGAAACAAGTTACCGAAGCATGTCGAGAACATGACACACCAGAAAGGATGTTTGTGCTGTTGCTTGCTGCTGCTGCTTGCTGCTGCTGCTGCTGCTGCTGCTGCTGCTCTTGTAGAGATGAAAAGGGTCTATTGCTTTGCAATGACCAACGAACTGCCAGCTGTTTACTCATGAAGGGCGTCTCAATCGAGCAAGGTGCTGCATGATGATGAGACAACGCAGGAGAGAAAAAACACTGCCCAACTCAATTGCTGCTGGATACATCTTGTCTGTGTTCCTTATTACGCCACACTCTGCTCTGTACGTTCTCCAAGACTACCCACCTCCGATGCACCACTATGCCCCTCGTCCTACGCTTGCTTGCACCTCGTAGCCATTCACGAGCAGCATGGTTCATAGCAGGATACGGGCGCTCTATGCACCAATATCCAAAAAATGAAGAGTCAACTCCGGGCCAACATGGAATATCCCGCACGAAGAAAGACGTTCCATGATTCGGACGGACCCCGAAGTGCTTCAACGCGCTCCGAGTACGCGCGCACACAGTCTCTGCCTGTAGCTTACTCTCGTGCTGTTGTCGCCTCGTGTTTTGCCCTGCCACCCCATCAATTAAAAACCAACCAAACCGCACGCGGGTCAGCGGTGCCTGAAGAACGGGGGGGGGGGGGGGCTTTGAAAGGCAAACAATCCACGGGACCTCTCTTGACGAACCAAAGCGTGGAGGCACCCCCTCCGTCTCTGTCTTCTCCCTCCCTCTCTTACCGTGTGTGCGTGTGGTATCGAACAAGTTTTGGGGCGCAACGCTGCGGCGCACCCGAGGTGAGGTTGGTTCGCCATGGGATCTTGAAACACGGATCGCCGGGAAGCTGCATGTGAAAAATTACTGTGCGTTGAATGTACGTAGTCTAATCGCATGCGGTAGCGCAAACATACATACTCCCTGACAACAGGATCGCTATCTAGGAGTGGGTGCAGCAGTTGGTGCCGCAAACTTCAACCGCGGCCCACTGCTGTAGGTCTTACCCGGGGTGGCCGTTGCCTACGTGAGTATGGTTCGTGCCTGGATGTCGCCCGGCGCGATCTCGCCTCCTCGGGTGTAGGAGGTCGCGGGGTGCTCGAACTTACCTTCGGATACGTATGCATCGATCGATGTTGAACGTGACCCATGTGTCATTTCTTCTTCGAAGGAGGAGGATAATACCGTTTGTTTTTTATCGCGAAAAACATGCATGTACAGAGCAACCATCACAGAAGATACTTCCTGTTCGAGATATGCATATGACCAAAGCATGGCCGGGGATGGGTTGAAGTCTTTACAGGAGGGGGGGGAAGAAACCGGCTGGAATCGCTCCGAACGCCATGTATGTATGTAACATATCTTCTGGAAGGAATCTATGTACCGTCGTAATTGTTTCAGAATGAAGGTAAAACTGTGTGCTGCTCGGGAAACCGTGGAAATACAGGTAGCTTTCTCTGACGCTACGTATGCATATGAATTAATTCATTGCTAATCTACAGTACAGCAGTATTGGTATCTTTAGACTCTTTTCTGAGATAGAGATATGTAAATACAAACCACACACCGTTCGAAACCACCGAGGAGGTGTTGAATTAACGTCTTTGCGGTGGGGTGGGAGAAAAAGAACGGGTGGACATGTGTATGTAGTGTTGTTCGCCATCCCTCCCCGGACACGTCTTGTACCGCGTCTTATATTTGGGTATACACACCTCACCGACTGGCCGTGGGGTATTGCCCAGCAAGGCAAAACGGTGCTCATCCCATTCACTGCAAATACTTCAACCCACCCCCCTCGACTACTACTTATGCTACTGCTGTGGTATTGTCTCGAAAAGGAAGTATTTCTTCAGTATATTTTCTAAACCAAAGTGGCAACTGTCGTGACACGGTCGGTACATCACATGCCTCTGCTTGATCTATTTTAGAACGTACAAACAACCAATCATTTAAGTTTTACATTTACTCGGTCAAGATCTTACCGGTATAAGGGGATGTGTTGAAGACAACAGCAGTGCATGGGGAAATGAACCTATATTGTTGTTGTTGGCTTCACATAAAAAAAAAACGTTCGACCTCTCTACCCTGTAATTTCAACTGTCCGTAGTGATCAAACACTTTGGCCGAGCAACGATATTGTTGTTGTTGTCTTTGCATAAAAAAAAAAAACAAGTTCGATCTCTCTACCCAGTAACTTCAACTGTCCTTAGTGATCAAACACTTTGGCCGAGCAATTCCCGTGGTCACAGACTACGTTACCTAGAAAATGTATACTCAACGAAAATGGACCCGAATGAACCCGAAGGGTCCGCAAGCCAATTTAAATCAACGAGGGATAGTCGGGGGTCCTCTGCTCCCCTCTACACACACGCTGTGTGGGGCAGAAATGCACTGGAATTCAACATCACAGGTCAAAGAGAGAAGCACCTTTCCGTACCGTATCATACCGTACCATTCCGCACGGTACGGATCATTTCCGTACCGTACCATTCCGTACCGTACCATATCATACCATACCGTACCGTACCATTCCGTACCGTGAAGCTTGTAGCAAATTGTACAGCCATCCCCTGGATACTGGGATTGTTCTGAGTCTGACAATATCTACCATGGTACACTTAAGGACCAGTGATGCCAGCTGGTACTACTCCCTCCTTTGTTTAAGCAGAGTGCGGTAACACTCTAACATTGACATGAGAGGGAAAGACACGAGAGCTTGGAAAGATGAAGGCGAAACAACGCGCTGTTGTTGTTAGAGAGGAGAAGATAGCAGACCGCAAGGGGGGGGGTATGATGCCCTCTAGTATATTCACAGGCGCACGCAACAATCTATCTGGGCGACAAGGCACCCCTGCCCACATGAATGCTCAACAACAACTGTCTGGAATTCCTTTGGAAATGTGCATGCATGCACACGTATCCCCCAGAGGAGACACACGGGTCGGACTCAATATACAACAAACACCATGAGATTGCCACCCCCCCCCCGCACGTTTCCTTACAGGAAGCGGGTAAATCCATACAAGCTTTGTTCGGAGATTGCGCCATCTGTTGAATCTACAAACCAACAGTGCATGTAGTCCTTTCTGTCGTCCTTGGCGCGGGAACCAGCACTGGTGGCCAGAGGAAGGTTGTGGGTAGGTTGGGGTACCCACTACAACCTGAGGGGGGTGGGGATGCAGGGAGGTTGCAGCCCAAAGTGTGCAAGTAATCCCGCATCTCGGATAGTGGCGTTATTCCAACCAACACAGCGGGCTGCATGACAGAGAAAAAGTTAGTTCGAGGTCGAAGTTGGTCTCCCAACCCCCCCCCCCAGGGTGTAGGTGGTGCCCAACCTGCCCCTCTGACTACCAGTGAGACGATGTATCAAGTCTGCTGCTACGTGCTGTTCATTAAACAATTAGTAAGCATGATGGCGTAAACCTCTCTCTTCTATTAGTTGCTGTTGTCAGTGTTCCTGAAACGATGCGATAATAATCTGTTGAGAGGGCGTTTGTGTGGACAAAGAACAGCTACGGTTGTTGCTGTACGACCCCTCTTCACGCCCAAGAGTCCTCCACAGAAATAAACACTACATGCTACTCGAGGTATTATGCTATCATTATCAACTGAAAAGAAGGTCCCGATTGAGCCCTTCCACTAACCCAAGGTCTTCAATCCCCCACGGTGTCTGCCCCAGCTATAGCGCCAAAGACGATGCCCCTGATTGCTCCACCGCCACTCACAACACGCGAGGAAGCCGACGTTCGTTGGGTTCTCCCCCATTCCCAGCCCGGCGACCACTCTCCATCAACGCCCGGAGCAACGTCGGCCAGCCCCTACCACCCGCCCGAGGATCTTGTCCTCGTCGAGTGCGCTGGCGGGGCGAGCGGGGTGAGCGGGGCGGCAGAGGCGGGCACATCAGCATTGCGACGGTGGCCGTGACACGCCGCCGTCCGCCGTCGAAATGTTGACATTTCCTCCGCTGCCGCCGTGCTCGCCTCCCTCGCCCCGCCAGCATACTCGGCGAAGAAGATTCGCGGGCGGATGGCATGGGCCGGCCAACATATTTCCGGGCGCCGTTGAAGTGATTGGATTGGCCGAGAAGCCAACCAACGCCGGCTTCCCTCGCGTGCTGTGGGCGGAGAACTGACGGCCGCGGGGCGATCGGAGCCCTCGTCTTGGCCCTTGATAGGGACGAGCTTTGGGTGGGATCGAAGACCTGGGGGGCGATCGGGACCCTCTATCAGTTGATGATTATGGTGTCATGCAGCGTTTGTGCCTGGGGAGGGTCCTTGGGTGTGAAGAGGGGAGGAATGCCATACAATCACAGGAAGTACTTCCCCAATCGAGACAACAACGCCCCAAACCAAGCGATGTTTGTGTGGTACAGAGCATGCCTCTCTCATGCGGGGTACGAGCTCCGCAAACTTGGTGGGTCGGTACGGGCGTGAGGGAGGTGTTGATTTGGCTTTTTCTAGGTTTGAGAATCATGCACAATGATTCAGGCAAGATCATAACAAAATTGATCCAAGACGAATCTCCGTGTATCTCACCGCAGATCGTGGACACAACGCTCAGAATCACAGGCACGGCCGAACAAAGTAGGTAGGATGTACTCTCAAACACTAGACCGAGTGTCAAGCGCACCAAATCTGAGTCCCCATCCGAAACCAAAGACACCGTTGGGCAAGAGATACTTTCGTGTTGGTGAGACTTGGTGCTGTCCACCGATTCCCCGATCCTTTCGTCGTCTCGTGCGAAAAAACGTTACATGCAGCACGTGCTAGACAAGCTGACGATGGCGGCGGCATCGTCAAACCTTGCCGAGTACAAGCGGCTGTTCTCCGCCATGGGCGGCAACCGCAACGGCACGGAGTGGCGCAAAGGAAATGTTTGCTCCAAGCACCGTTTGTGATGGGTGCGTCATGTTTACCTTTTGCACAGGTGCCCGACGTCGGGGTTCAGATTGGGCTGAACCCCGACGTCGGGTACCTGTGAAAACGTTAGACATGCGTCCATCACACACGGTGTCTGGGGCGAACATATTCCTTGCCTGATTGCTCGCCACTCCCTGCTGCTGCGGTTCCCGCCCATGGCGCAGAAAAGGCGCCTGTGCTCGGCAATATTTGACGATGCCGCCGCCATCGTCAGAGTTTCCACCACGTCCTGCATGTAACGGTTTTTCGCACGAGACGATACCAACGGGCCGGAACAGTCAGGGAATAGATATGTAGGTGGACAGCACCAAGTCTATGTAGCTAGCACGAAGCATCTCTTGCCCAACGGTTTCTTGGTCTTCGTACGGGCTTCTTGTTGATGCACTCGAAACTCGGTCTAGCGTTGGAGAGTACATCCTGCCTGTGTACTTTACGCGGCCCTGCCTGTGGGTGTGGGTGTTGTTCCTACGAAACAAACAAATAGAAGAACTGAAGTAATGCCGACACCCCCCCCCTCTCGCCCATTCTCACGACGTGCAGCGCTTCCTATTTCACCTATTTGGAGAAGGGAAGGGATGTCAGAGGTTAAACCTGAAGAATGGTTGATGGAGCATAGTCTATATGGCCGTTTGGCCTTTTCATTCAAAACTAACCTTCAATGCGCCTGCCTGTGAAATGACTTGCTGCCGTAGTAATTGACTTTCGGTCTGCAACTATCCTCTTCTGTAACTACCACAATACTGTAGTTTGTTCTCCCTTGTTTTGTACCAACACGATGCTATTCCTTCGCATACCAGTGTCAGAGGGTGCGTACACATAGGCTTGCGCGGTACCCTCCGTGATACTACAATGAGAGAGAGTTGTTGGTGGCGAATGGTTTGTCGCAGTATAACGTAGACAACGCTGTAGCCTACACGTAGAACGTAATCTATATGTACAGCAACCACCGCATCCAATCGGACAATCTGCAAGTAAGTACCCCCCCGCAAATATTCAGCGGTGGGCATCCAAACTTCCATGGCACCCAACAGCTATTTCACCTCAGGTGTGCCGCTGCGTTGTCCACCCCGAAACATGCTCGATGCCACGCGCAGAGCGCACGGTAAGAGAGGGAGGGAGAAAGATCCAAAGGGGTGGAATGGAATGGGATGGGATGGAATGGGATGGGGTGGGGTGGGATGGATGGATGCCGCTGCGATCTTGCCCGTCGCCGTCTCAACTTACGAAGGCGAACACGTCAGCATTGAGGTAGGCCGTGTGTGTTGGACACGCTGCCGTCGAAATGCTGACACGCCCTCCTCCGCCGCCGTGCTCGCCGCGCTCGCCCCTCCAGCATACTCGGCGAGGACAAGATCCTCCTCGGGCGGATGGTACGGCCGGCCGACCTTTTTCGGAGTGTCAAGGCAGTGGTGGCCGGGATAGGGGTAGCCGGGAGTCCAACGAACGCCGCCTTCCCTCGCGTGCAGGGGGCGACGAACTGGCGGCGGCAAGGGCGATCGGAGCCATCGTCTT